TCCAACCACCCAGCAGCTTCCTAAGTGAGCAGGGGAAAAAGGAGTGAAGGGGAAAATGATGAAGTTTTCTGATGATGCAGAGAGATTCTGGAGTGAAGTCCAACAGAAACATTAAACTTGTTTGCTTCTTGATCCTGATAATATCTGAGCCTCCCAGCTAGGGCTGCACTCCCAGCAGCAAATGCTCTTCTGTGCTCACACAGACCCTGCCAAGCCCTTGCCATGTAATAAATGTCTTTACAAAGGCCATGCCAGGCCCTTGCCATGTAATAAATGTGCTTACAAAGGCCATGCCAGGCCCTTGCCATGTAATAAATGTGCTTACAAAGGCCATGCCAGGCCCTTGCCATTAATCAGCTGGCATCAAACAGCCAGGTGGGTCCCTGCCCTGTGCCCTGGCATGGCAGTGGGGCTGCCAAGGCTCAGCCATGCCAGGAGCAGCTCGTGGGAAGGGCTGGCAAGGAAGGTTTGAAGGGAAAATGCTTCAGACTGATGGGCAGAGGTGGCACAGGTAGCAAAGGCAAAATCCTGCCCTTCCTTTCTGCCCCAGTGAGGTTCTGTCAGCTCCCAGTGCTCTCCTCGCAGAACTGAGGATTTCTGCTGGCTGGGCTGGGAGGAGGAGGCACAGCCAGATGTGCACTGGCAGAGTCCTGGGGACCATCTCTTGGATAATGGCCCAAGGGGACAGGAACCCAGCCAAGGCCAGCACAGGTCACCCCAAGCCTCTTTGCAAAAAGCTGTGGGATATCTAATTGCAGTCATTAGTGAACTGAGTCACACGCTGCTAATGCAGGCTGGCAGAAGGAGCTGCAAGCCACCAAAATCCTGGAATGTTTTGCTTGCACTTGACACTGGAGGTGTTTAAATGCTCTGAAGAACCATCCTCCCCTGCAGCAGGTGCCCAGCCTCTCCCATTTGTGTCACTATCATATTTGCTGAAAAATCTCTTTGCCCAGGATTCTTCTCCTGGGAAGCTGAGAGGCCTCAGAGAAAAAAAATGTAAATAATAATAATAATAATCTGATTTTCTTCTCTTGTTTTGCTGCTTTAGAATGTAGCAGGTGATTGTTTTATTGGTTTCATGTGAATTGGTTTTACTTATTGACCAATCACTCTCCAGCTGTGTCAAAGCCCTGGAGAGGGTCATGAGTTTTCATTATTATTCTTGTTAAGCCTTCTGTCTATATTCTTTCTCTAATTCTTTAGTATAGTTTTAGTATATATATACTATAATATACATATATATACTATATATATACTATCATATATAGTATATATACTATCATATACTAATATAATATAACATAACATAACATAACATAACATAATATCCTTCTAAAAATATAAAGGCAGATTCATCAATTCCTCCTTCATCCTGGGAACCCCAGAAATGACCACATATTTGGGTTGAACACAGCAAACTTGCAGAGTGGGAAGAGCTTCAAGGCTCCCTGCCAGCCCCAGCCCCTGAGCCTGGCTATTCTCACCTTCAGTGCCCCAGCCTGGAGAATCATCTTATTCCAAAAACCCTGCTAAAGACAGTGCTGGCTTTTCAGCCCTGCTAAAAATAGAGCTGGCAACATGGGAATAGCCAGGCTGAGGGCTGGCAAGGACCTGTGGAGGTTTGGGTGGCAGGGATGGGCCAGGCTCCCCTCTGCCAGGGGCTCAGGAGGGGACCAGAGCAGCCTGAAGGGCTCTGAGCCCAGAAGATGCTTGGGAGACCTCCCTGCAGCTCTGAGCACACACTTCAGGGGCAACATTCCCTCCCTGCTTACACATGGTGGAGCCAGGGTGAGCCCTCAGCAGCCCCAAGCCCACCCTCAGCCCCCATCTGCTCTGGGCAGCCCCTTCCCACTGATGGAGCAGCGCCTGGAAACAAAAAAGGCTCCCTAAGGTAAAGTGTTGCTTTGGTCCAAAGCAAGGCGAAGAAAAGCACTTTGAGACAATCAAGCACTCTTTCCAGCTGTGGAACCAGGCACCTGCCCTGTCTTCCCACTGCTTCTGACCAGGGAATTAAGGCATTTATTCTACATTAGAGCCATTTCCAGAGGAATTTCCCTCTGACACAAAATGCCAGCAGCCACTTCCCTCGGAAGGAGGGTTTTCAAAGTGCAGGAGCAAGCAGTGGTGGGGAGGGACAGTGGGCAGGGGAGTGCTGCACCCTGAGAGAAGGGAAATGAAAGAAGGAACCACCTGAGAGCGTGGCACAGGTGGAGTGCCACATCCAACAAACACCTCAGTGCCACCTCCCCCGTGCCCTGCAGGGTCCTGCTGCTGCCCAGACCTTGTGCTGGTGGCACGAATGGTCCTGCAGAGAGGGGCTGGCACAGAGGAGGCATCTGCTCCCCGCTCTTCATCCCAGGAAGCACCCCATGGAGGGCAAAATGCTGTATTTAAAAACTGGCACGTACTTTTGAGTCTTTTAAGTAGCACCTGTCATTTTTGGCAGTGCTTTTAGCTGCAAGTCTTCCTCTTTCAAGGCCCCTGCACGGAGCTGTTCCCACCTGCCTCGGCAGGGAGCTCACAGCAGTGCACGGGGCACAGGAGGTTCCTGAGCAAATCCCTGAGGAGACAGACTCAGCTGCTGGATTTTGAGAAAAGGAAATGTTGGATCATGCCCTTTTCTGACCCAGAGGTGGGGTAACTGAGAGGTGTTTTATAAACTTTTATTCTGTTTTCAGTGTCATGTAAAGGGGGAGACAATACAGATTTATAATTCATGCCATCACAATTAGAAGCCAACTATTTCCTAATTACAATACATTGTGTTTCTTATTAGTTTTTATCACACTATGCTATAAATACCTTAAAACTAATCATTTAAAATTACCCCTCATAAGTCCTACTACAAGACGTCTTTCATAGTTCTATTTCTCCAAAGTATTTGTTTTATTTACTCTGTGTTTGAGTATGTGATAAATGAGCAATGGAATGGTTGACTCTCACAATTATAGGGCAAATATTAAGAGAAGTTTTATGGGTTTATAGTTGTGTTTTACCCCACCTTGTGTTGTTATCATAGGGAGACCTGAGTTTGGGACATTTGGGAGTGTTGGCTTCTCGCTATGACAACAGCTGACCTCCAAAAAAGATGTAAGGAAATAAATTCCACAACTGAACAGTGAAGGAGGGGGACTAAAGGGTTAAAAGGCAGAACATCCATTGTGTGGATGGGCACTTGGTGGGGAAAATCTGTAGGGTTTTTTTATCTATTGTCTTCTGTTGTAATTTTTGATACGGTTTTAATAAACCTTTTCAAAATGTTTGACAGTGAGTATAGTTTCTCACAAGTATCACCCCGCCCCCAAACAACTTCTGTAATATTTTGTTCCTGCCAGCCTGAAATGTCTCAGATGCTGTGGCGTGTGACCCCCACTGCACAGATTCCTCTGTTAACACGCCACCCAACCCAAATCAACTTCAGCTTCGCTTTGGAATCGATCTCCAAATCAAGGAGCTCTGCTGCTCCCCTGGGCAGCCCACCCTCCCGCAGGAATGTCACCCTCCCGCAGGATTTTAACCCTCCCTGGCCCACTCTCCTTCCCTATCAGCAACTCAGGAATTCAGGAATTGGGGAATTCAGGAATTCTCCTCTTCAGGTGCTGTACACTGGGTGCTTTGCCTTCCACCCCTCCTGGGATGGAACAACCTTCCCCTTCTGCTGTGATGCCCAGAGTGGGGCAGGGGAGGCAGCTGAGCCATGCTTATCAAACCCTGCTGCTTTAAACAGGCTGCAGCAAAGCCACGCTATGCCTAACGTCACCGGGGAGCAAAAATAGCCGGCACGAGTGGAGGGAGGGCAAGGAGAGTATTAAGAGCGCCCAGATTTCAAACATACTTGGCTGGCAGCACGCTCCCTTCCCGCCCCTGCTGCTCCAGATGCGACACAGCACTGGGATCTCTCACTCCCTGCCCATGAAGAAGGATTCTCTTCCATTTTTTTTCTCTTTTTCTGGTTTTCTTTCTTTAAGTTTCAGCTTTGATGCTACCAGATAGATTTTTTATTTATTTATTTCTTATTTTCTTTCTTGTAGGAAACTTCATCTGCCGGATTTAAAAGCAAGGTTTGAGCAGGAGAAATTAATTTCTGTTTACAGCTGTAAATGCGCACGGTACTCCTGTGGGATGATATCGTAGAGGGAAAGGCAAGACTGGCTGGGAAAATCGCCTGGACCGTAAGATGCTTGAATGGCTGCTTGGAATAACGAGCTCTCTGTTGTGTGTGCATGTGTGTGTGTGTTTGTGTACGAGAGCAGCAGTGATGGGAACTTTAAAGTGATGCAAGGGCTCCCCATTTGGCTTCATTTTCCTCTTCTAGCTCTGTCAGAATACGGGTGAAGTGTCTGAATGGAATTGGTGCTGTAGGGATTTTATGAATGGAGCAGAAGGCAGGTTCAGGAGAAGAGGAGCAGAGCAGGGAGATGCAGTGGGCTCGGCTCTCTCCAGCAGGAGCTGTCACTCCAGGGAACTGCACAGACAGGCACCAGCATGGCACAAATCTGCCTCAAGTCCCTGGGACACCAAATGAGGCAGCTGCAAGGAGGCAGCACCCGAGCCATGGAAATATGCTCGTGAAAATGAGCTACCACCAGCACCGAGCGAGAGCTGTGTGTGGGACCAGCTCCGGGCTCAGCTGGAGCATCCCATGCAGAGCTGCTCATTTCTGTGCCCTCCTGCTGGTTGTGAGGCTGAGGAGCAGCCACAGCTCCCGGAGCAGCCGTGTCTCCTTCACGGGAGTCACTGTCACTGCCAGCTCGGACACCAGCACTGATAAAAGGGACAAGGAGGCAGCGGGACAGACTGGCTACACCTGCCCTACAGCAGGAGGGCACTGCACAGCACTGCAGGAGCAGGACAAGGCAGATTTGGGGCTGCAAGGTGTCCAAGAAATGGATCTTGAAGCTGGTGAAGCTGTGGGGACCAGCCCAGAGCAGCACTGTCCTGAAGGAGCACTGAGCACTGCAGAACCACGCTCGTCTCTCACTGTACTCCAGGGACTGGGATGGGAGATGGGCCCTGTGTGTTTCTCTTTTTTTTTGTACTTTTATCCCAACTGCTAAGTGAGGGAATATCTCCCTCTGCACTGGATTGTCTTCTCTTACCCAGAGTTTTTTGTGACACCTCTGCAGGTGGTAATGGGGAGAAGGTGGGGGAAGCCAAAGAGGATGAAAATTGTCCATCCTCAAGGGCCACAGAGGTCGCTGTCAGGGTGACACAAGGGCAGCAGGGGAGGGCCCAGGACTGTAATGCTTCTCCAAGGAGACAGTGGGAGGAAAGAGGCAAAGGAGTCAGAGCTGGTGAGGAGGGAAAGGGACACTTAACTCACTGGGAAACGCTGCACATTCCCAGGATTAAACAAATCCAGCCTGCCCAGCGGAACAAGGCAGAGGGGAGTCTTTGCCTGCTGAGCCCTAGAGGACAAGGCAGTCCAGCATCCCTCCCCTTAACGTTTTCCAAAGAAACTGAGACAGCCTGAGTGCTGTAAAACACGTAATGCAAATGTACTTCTGTATGCAGTGACCTTTATGATGGCACAGGCTTTTGGTATGCCTTAAAATCTGGGCATTTTAGCTACTTCTTCAGCATTTCTCTGAGGAAGGTTTGCTCTCCTTTTGCCTACACCCAGAATGAATTCCGAGCAACACAGTCCTGATTTGTGCAGCACTGAGTCTGAGCTAAGCAGAGGCTCCTATGTACAGAGTTGCCTCACATGTTGTCTCACACCTCGCTGCTCAAGGCTGTTCAGGAAGGTTCACACCCAGCTCTGGCTGAAACAGATCTGTTTTACAGACACATGGACATCTCTGGTGTCACACTGGACAGAGAGAGTGAAGAACCCTGTGTTTACAGGCACAGAAATCCCACAGGGAAGCTGCACTTTGCTTTATGAAGTGCCTTTTTCTCCATCACTCGAGTGCTGTTTGAAACTGCAGGACAGAGGAGGAGCTTCTCATTCAAGGGAAGCTGCTCTGTGAAAACACTGCAGAAATGCTGGACAGGACTTCAAATGCATCACTAACACAGAACAATTTGGCTGCAAATGATAACTCTAAAGTTTGTTTTCCCTTTTTCGGAGTCTTCTGCTCCTTCAGAGATAAGAATGTGGCAAAGAGGTTCAAACAATCATGCTGATAGCTCTAAATCATTGTTATAAATTTAGGAAGGATGTTTTTTTCCTCCAACCCCGAACTAAGGACTGAAGTAAGTGGTTCCAGTGATTCAACAACATTTTTTGTCTCTTTTCCATGGACACATCTCACAGCTGGGCTCTTCTAATGACAGCATGAGCCCTACAAGAGTGGCCTCAGTGCCAAAGACCTTTGGTACATTCAGGCAGTGCAGATACGTGCTCAGGGACAGGTAACTTCTAAATGAACTTTTGTGTTGCTCTGGCAGATTTCTAATATGTTGGTTTTGCTGTCTTTCCTCTAGTGGAGAACGCAGATGGTCCTTGGATGAGACACTGCTGAGAAATGGTTCCACAGCTGCCCGCAGCCGCGTTTCTCAGAGCAGAGAGAAGCCCCTCAGACCCCTGTGACATGAGCAAAGCTTCTGGCGTTTAAACCCGGGAGGATGTCCCTAAGTGACGAGCTGGAGAGCCACTTCCCCACCACCCCCTACATGGTGACAGAGGCGGGTGAGGACAGCGTGTTCAGAATCAGGCCCAACGGCTCCGCCAATGCCACCGGGGACGGCGCGTGGGCCGCCGGCTCCACGGAGGACATGATTGCCATCTGCACCATCGGGGCCATCCTGTCGCTCATGTGCGTGGTTGGGGTGACAGGCAACGTCTACACCCTGCTGGTGATGTGCCACTACCTGCGCTCCTCTGCCTCCATGTACATTTACATCATCAACCTGGCGCTGGCCGACCTGCTCTACCTCCTCACCATCCCCTTCATCGTCGGCACCTACTTCATTCAGAAGTGGTACTTTGGGGACATTGGCTGCCGCATCCTGTTCAGCCTGGACTTCCTCACCATGCACGCCAGCATCTTCACCCTCACGGTCATGAGCACGGAGCGCTACCTGGCCGTGCTGAAGCCCCTGGACACGGTGAAGAGGTCCAAGAGCTACCGCAAGGCCATTGCTGTGGTGATCTGGCTGGTGTCGCTGCTGCTCACCCTGCCCATGCTCATCATGATCCAGCTGGTGCAAAGGGACAACAAAAGCATCTGCCTGCCCACCTGGAGCAAACTGTCCTACAAAGTCTATCTCACCATCCTTTTTGGCACCAGCATCGTGGGCCCGGGGGTGGTCATTGGCTACCTGTACATCCGCCTGGCTAAGATTTACTGGGTGTCCCAGACTGCTTCCTTCAAGCAGACCAAGAGGCTGCCCAACCAGAAGGTGCTCTACTTAATCTTCACCATAGTGCTGGTCTTCTGGGCTTGCTTCTTGCCTTTCTGGATATGGCAGCTCCTCTTCCAGTATTATGAATCCTTCCCTTTATCTCCCAAGGTGATGAAGAACATTAATTACTTGACAACCTGCCTGACCTACAGCAACAGCTGCATCAACCCCTTCCTCTACACCCTGCTCACCAAAAACTACCGGGAGTACCTGAAGAACAGGCAGAGGTCCCTCAGCAGCAGCAGTGGGTACTTCCAGAGGAGGAATCGTTTCCAGAGGATTTCAGGGAGGTCCCTGTCCACGAGCAGCCAGCACTGCACAGAGACTTACGTCCTTGCTCACGCTCCTTTGGGAAACAGCAGTGCCTGAAGGTAAAATATATCTCCAAGAACAATCAACACTGACTTCAATGTTGCTTTGATTTAAAGTGTACGTTGTGCAGGCGAAGCCTTGGCAGTGCACACATCTAGTCCAGAGGCTGTGCCGTGTGTCTGTTCTCATTTCTGCAGTGCCACTGATTTGATGCTAGCAGCACTCAGCTGAACAGCTATCTAAATAGCCTTTCACTTTTTATCTTTATATTTTATAGTGTGCATCTCCTCAAGTAGCCATCAATAATGAAAGCCTACAACAGGGCCATGATTTTTAATAGTATCAGCTGTCTCACAACGTTTAAAATTATGTTACCCCATGAATGGCTGTCGTTTGCTCTTTTCTTCCTTTAGCAGTAGTGCTAAATTTGTAGTTGTACGAGGACTGAAGACAATGAAATAAAGAAAAAGCAGCTGATGTTTGCAACACGACATGCAGTTTTGCATTTGGGGTAGGACTGGACAATGAGGCGTATCCAGGGTTACTTGTCCTGGTTTGGGTGATGCTCACACTTATTCTGCACTCCTGTCTGTGCACTGGGCTGGATTCTCCAGTCACACAGTGTGTGCAGTGGAGTCACACCATGGTCCTTGTCAGCAGCACAGGCCTCCCATGACAGTGCCACAGGCAGGGAACACAGCATCTCCTGCTGCACTGACCCCAAGCACCCATGAGGAGCAGCATCATCTGTCCTGGGCAAGCATTTCCACCCTCTGCCCTCCTCCAAGGAGGGACTGGGAGACTCTGATGTGGCTGTCCTCAGGGCATCTGCTGGCAAACTGCAACACCCAGCCTGAAGCACCAGACCTCCACCTCCAAGTCCAGGTGGGGCAGAGGGAGAGGAGGGGGTCAAGGAAATGTGATTTTCCCCGGGTAAAGCAATGTTCTCTGACGTGCTGAATACTCCCAGTCATAAAAGTGCTGGTTATTGGTTAGGGAGACAACTTGTTCACTCACTGGAAGTGATTTTGCCTTTCTGCTATAAAAACATAGTCCTGCCTACACCAAGAGTACAGTGCCTGTCCTGGCTTTCCCCAATGATAAGGCATGATTAGTATAAATATATAATCTGTGATGTCTGGAACTTCCCCAGTGAGTCTAAAATACCTTCTCTGGGATGCTGCCAGCATCCCTACAGGAGTCCTCTGCTTGCAGCAGCCCTGCTTCCTCATTAGCAGGGATATGAGGATGCAATGCCAGCACAGCCCAGGCACAGAATTAGAACCAAATGAATGCTGAGCAGCAAACTCAGAACTGCACTGTGAAATCCCTCTGGCAGTGAGCTCTGTTTGCTTAGACTGAGCCTGAATTCAGAATTTAAACATCTTTTCCCCTTCAAGGTGTTGAAATGGTCACTGCTCATGGGCGCAGGGCAAGATCTGCATGCAGCCTCCCTAGGGAATACACTTGGACAAGTCATTGTCTCTTCCATGCATGGGTTTGAAGTCTGTAATGGATGGGGCATGCAGTTCTGCTACTGAACTGCTGCAGGACCTGCAAGGGCCTTGCTGTGTTCCCAGCCCATCAGCAGTGCTGCTGGGGTCGGGGTGCTTTACCTGCAGCCTGCTTGCTGTGCAGTGTGCCAGCAGCTCCCACATCAGGATCAGCCCCTTCCTGACCCCAGAGAATTCACAGAATTCACAGAGTGACTAGGGTTTGAAGAGACCTTCAAGATCATCGAGCCCAACCCAGCCCCAACACCTCAACTAAACCCTGGCACCCAGTGCCACATCCAGGCTTTGTTAAACACACCCAGGGATGGGGACTGCACCTGGCTGGGGCCAGGCAGTGCTCTCAGCTGTGGTCTTTGCCAGCAAAGGATGACGTCTATGTTTACCCAAATGATTTGCAAATCCACCCAGAAACTTAAGAATCCTTCTGGAAATTATTTTATTTTTTCTTTTTCCAAATTCTGAATTGTCGCGTTTCAGCCTTTAGGAGGCAAAACAGCACAATTTCTCACTTCAGGAGGAAGCTTTACCCATCAGTTTGCTTACACTTAATTTTAAAAAGCCTTTTTCCATTTTGTTCAGACCACAGGATTTTTGTAAGAGTCCAAGGAGGAAAGCAGAGAGCAGCTGTGCATCCCTCTGCCCAAACCCTGCCTGGACAGGGTGGTACCCACCAAACTGCCACCCCTGCCCAATTCCCACTGCCACAGCAACCACAGGCACAAACCCCCCTCCTCACCTGCTGGTGGAGCCTGGTTTTAGCTCAGTTTGAGCCCCCTCCTTGTTCCTGCAGGGCCATGGGTGAGAGGTGGGATTTGTGGAGCACTGTGACTCCCAGTCAGCAGCTCAGTGATTACCCCACAGGGCCAGGAGGTGAGGGCTGGCATGTGTGACAATCTCCAGACTGCCAGGTTGTTGGATTAGGGCCTTTTCTGACCCAAACATGGGCAACTGAGAGGTGTTTTAAAAACTTTTATTACATTTTTTAGTTTTATATCAAGAGTGAGACAATACAGATGTTATAATTCATGCCATCACAATCAAAAGCAAACTATTTCCTAATTACAATACATAAGTGTTTCTTAACCTATCAGTTTCAACCACACCATGTTATAAATACTTTAAAACAAATTATCTAAAATTACTCCTCATAAGTCCAACTACAATAAATATTTCATTGTTCTATTTCTCCCAAGTATGTAGTCTTATTTACAAGCCCATCTTTTATAACTTATTCTAATTCCATTTCTCTCTCAACAATGTCTATGCTATTCTATAACATTTCTAAATCAAGATTTCTTATCTCAAAATTTACATACAAATACATACTATATGAACCTTCTATCAAGCTTTAAAAATTCTCTACAAACTCATTTCCCACACAGGTCATTCCTTTCATTTCTCTGGGGTGAAACTTCTCAATTCAGTGTTTGCTTCAGGACATTAAAAGGAGAGGCTGAGCAGAGCTTGGAGAGCAAATCCACCCCTTGGCAGAGCTGCCTAGAGAAAAACATTCCTCCTGCCAGTGCTGCCCCAGGGGCATCTGCTGTGGCTGCCACACCAGGATGTCTCCAGTGAAATCATCTGCCCCAGCACACTCAGACTGCCTGGTCTGGACATTTTTCTTTCTCAAATTGCACAATTAAATCCTGAGACCTCCACAGGCTCCTTCTCCAGATCAAACTGCAGCTGTCTCTCCAGTGCAACAGTGAAAAATTCATTGCAAGAAAAATATCAGACCTTGTCTTGTGCTTGGCAGCTTTGCTTTAAAGTGACATTTGGGCACCCTGAATATTGTCCTGTGCAGCCCTGTACCCAGGCCAGCTCTGCATGGGCATCTTTGCCATCTATTTACTGCATGAGCTGCCATATCCTGGAAAACAGTGTCAGTTCTAAATAATTCTGACCACTTTTGTACCTCCAAAATCAGCATCTTATCTTCAAGTCCTGCTTAGACCTGATTTTCAGCTGAGGATGCTGATCCAGGCACATCAGAAGTGTGGTGGAATCAACTTAATCAAGGAGACAGAGCAAGAGCACAGAATGAATTATGCTGCCAGAATATGGAGGGGTATCTGAAAGTGGGCTGGAAATGGCAAGGCAGAGCAAAAGCAGGTGATTTTTTGCTGACTCCCAGTTTTTCAGTGTAGCAGAAATGAAAATTCACTACAAACATGGCAGAAAAAGAAAATCCCACATCTCTGAGAGAGAGCTGAGCAGCAGATAAATCCAAAGCAGCAGATAAAGCCAAAGCAGCAGATAAATCCAAAGCAGCTCACTTCCATTTTCATTTATTTCCTGGCTTCCCAGGAATAAACACCCCACCAATGTACTCAAAGATCAGGGAATCCACCTGTCAAAAAGTCAGAGTTTTCTCTGCATGCTGAAGGCTTGCTGCTAAATCCACTTCTCCCAAACATTTATCACCTGTGAAGCCATTTGTCTGCGAGGGAAGCACATGTTTTTGCCAAAAGAGAAAGTGTAAATATCACAATTTGTGTTTCAAAGACCAAAGCACTCAAGCTTGCATAATTTCAGCTGTTATTAGCATTAATTACATGTCAAGTAGCTGCTGTTATTAGTTTAAATCTGTCTAGGAGGATGAAAAAATAGCACAATAAGTGCAAACATATGACAAAAATCAGTGAAATAACCTGCCTCAGTGACAGAGTGGAACACCCCCTGGCACAGGGGCAGACAGGACAGGATTTACCACACCAGCTCTGACTGTTACAACCATCCCTGGCCAATTCTGGCATCTCCCTTTCACAGATATCCTGGAAGTCCCACAACAGGGTTAATTCATTGACATCAACTGCAGTTCCAGCCACAAAATATCCAAGACCTTTTTTTTCAGGTGTGAAAATTAATTAATCCTTGTAGATTAATTTATTTTGAGGATCTTGTGGATCTTTTGAGGATCTTTCTTTCTTGTGGGAAAGAAGGGCAATGCCAGGAGTGAGGTGGGAGCATCAGTAAGGAAATTCATTGAGCCCTATGGACACAAGAATCAAATATTATGAGAAAGTTTCTAATTCTTAATCACTATTTCACAAATAGGGGGAAAAAATCTTAAAAGGAGGGAAGTTTCATCCATACCCCAGTGGCAACAGGCACCCACATGCTTTGGGAATTAAAGTAGCAACACTCCTTCCAAGGCTTTCCTTTCCATACTGAATTTGGTGCCCAAATCTGAGCACACTGGGCAGCAGAAGTGCACTTTGGCTTTTTTTGTGTTTGTGTTTATTTGAAACACAACAGGAAACACAGGCAGCAAAGCCTCCTGCTGATTACTTAGTTCAGTTCAGGGCTTGCTGCTCAGAGGAGAGTGTAACATAATTAATTCATTAGCTGCAAACATTCTACAAACGGAATCGCTCCATGTTTATGTGAACTGCAAAATGTTTATGTGAAGCTGTGTTTATGTGAATCACTCTGGTCCTCTCTGGGATCCTCAGAGGGGAAATTCCTTCAGGATCCAGCACAGGGACTGTAGAGAGCTCAGAAATGAGCACAAGGCTCAGGGCACCACTGATGCCTCAGGTTTAGCTTTTCTATTTTTCAGATTTTATACTGCTTTAGTGTGTGGGTCTGGGCTTCACATCAGGGGATGGTGAGCTCTGTGCACAGAGCAGGGACACAAAACAATTCCTGCTCTAGCTGGGGACCAAGGACAAATTATCCAAATTTCAGCCCAAGAGCACAAACACCGTGGACTGAAGAGTTAAAAACAAGCAGGAGGGGACTGGATGGGCTAAAGCTGGAGCTGGACAATGAACTGCAATGTGCACATGGAGCAGAGCTGAGCCCAGGGAGAGACCCTGGCAGCGCTCGTGCATTTTGGGACCATTTTGGTTCATCTTGGGTGCAGCCCTGGCTGGGCTCTTGTGCTGCCCAAGGTGCATCCATTAAAACCTTCTAATAAATCCCTACTTTATTGTTTAACCCTGCTCTAGCTCAGCTTGGAGCTGGACA